TACTTAAGTCAACAGTGTACAGTGGTTGTACACAGATGTTTTGCTTTGGCAGCAACTTGAACAATTGAGTTAAAGTATTAATCTGTATTAACTCTAATAGTGTTTAATTTACACCGTAAGGTAAGTCAATGAGTCTCCACCTCCAAACATCTGCCCCATTTTAATATGCGCACAAGTCATGAGGATCAGAAGAACCAGCTCAGATTTACCCACCATCATGAGAAAGACTCTGACCAAAAAGGACCTTACAGCTTTTTCTTGTTTTATTTTGATGCTTTGTTGGTTCAGTTCTGATTGTTCTTGGAGATTAGAAAGCTGAGGTTCTATCGTTAACAATAATTTATGCCAATTTGCACAATCTTTGCACATCGGTTACATGGTAACTGTATTTTTTTGTGTATGTCTTATAATTTGCCTTGAATACATGGGAAAAAAATTCTGCTTTTTCAGTCTCTCTCTCTCTTTTTCCCCCCTGCATTTTGTCCAGGATGTAAGGAGTTCCCAGGGCAGACTGAGGAGTGAGACAATTTTGATCTCCTTATTGGGAATGTGGAGAGCAGGTGGGAAGGGGTTGGGGGGGGGGGCACTCATCTGCTGCCAGCCAAGTTCCCCTTTCTCCTCTTAGACCCAGGTTCCCAAATCATGGATCACAGACCTGGAGAAGAAGCTAATAGCCCTCTCTAGCAGAGCCGTGCTAAAGTCTCCCTGCACTAAAATCATTCCCCTGGGAATCAATGGGCTCATTCTTCTGCTGGCCGCCGTCTGCTCCATGGTTCTACACTCCATGTGAGACAGCAGACAGCCATGGGGAAACATAAAACATAATACTTGTGTGACCAATTTGTCACTGGCTCTGCGGGGAGGGCGTGTGCAGATATTGCCAATGAAAGAAGAATCAGTGGGAGATTAAAGGGTGACAGCCCTCCATATTAAGATCGGGGAGCTCATTTAGATGCTGCGCGGAGCGGGGCTAAATCCTACGGCGCCCCATTGAATCCACGTCCATTTCCCCTTTGACAGCTTCCACGTTTCATACGAAGCTGATATAACAACTTCCTGTCTGTAAATGAAAGTGAAAGCGATTTAAAACTGGAATCGCCATTTTGTCAAGAAACACAAACGTGATTCTGAAAAAAATAAAAAGATATTTTTATTGCCCGGTAAGATTTTACTCGGCATATTGAACCAATAGTAAAAAATACATGTTTAACTTACTTAAATATTGGGATTTAATAGTTCTCAACATAATTATCAATAAATATACCGCTGTGCATTACAGTAAATGAGTATGTCACAGACTCTTTTGGGCTTTCGAATGTAAAGCGAATTAACAACAATAATACTGTAGCGCGGAGGTACCGGCGAGCAGCGCGGCATGTTGGACTGATGCCAGTTTATAAATAGTTCTCAGTAATCGCTTATGTCGTTGTAAATGTGCTGTGTGTTATGTCATGTATAGTGGTTAATATTTATTGTTGTACGTAGTGTGTGTGTGTGTACTATGTGTGTGAGGAGTAAACGGGGCGATGAGAACGGTGGGCAGTGCGAATGTGTGGGTTATATAGTAGTACGGGTGTAATAAACGCCATTTGGTGATTGAACCCCAAACCATCTCTGCAAATAAGGGCGCTTTTCCACCGCACAAAGTACGGTACTTTCGGTACGGTACTTTCGGTACTTTCGCTTTTCCATTGACTATGCAGATTATTGCGAGAATGGCTCAGTGATTCGCTATTTCAATAATAATATTTAATTATTTACACTCAAATCTGATTTCGCTTAATATACAGTGTTGCTTAAACGTGGACCGGGTGCTAGATTATAGTATTTTTAAGTTATATTAGGCTTCTTTCAAGATGTTGGGAATAACTGAACCCAGGTTAAACTCAAGGCTTAATGTTTTTTGAAACAAGGCTAAACCACAGCATTGCTGTATTTCCTCCCCCCCCTTTTTTCCCTTAGTTCATAAACAGTTTGATATTTTTACATATAGACAGGTCTAGCACCGAACATATTAGGACGATGCATAGTTTAGCATAAAGCCGTCTACTAATAAATTATTTAAAATGGTATGAAATTATATAGAGAAATGTATTTCTCTATATAATGTCTATGCAGTATGTAGTTTGGATTTTAGTGTTTTCCAGGTGTGGATATACGTACAGTCATGTGAAAAAATTAGGGCACCCCATGAAATATTTTATTCTTTATTAAGAAATATAAAAATATCAATATTAAATCTTCTTTCAAATCTGTAAATAAAAGTGATGTATTTGCATTACCTATGCAAAAACAAGAAACAAATTCACTTATTTAATAAAAGGAAATTAACTGAGATGCCCTATTGAGGAAAATGTTAGGACACGCAGTGCCCTAATAGCTAGTATTTTCCCCTTTGGCTGAAATAACCTCAATGACATGTTTCCTATAACCATCTATCAATTTCTGACATCGACTGGCAGGAAGGCTTCCCCACTCTCCAATGCAGAATTCCTTAAGCTGTGTGATGTTTGAAGGGTGTCTTGCATGCACTTCTGCTTCAAATCACCCCACAGCATCTCAATAGGATTCAGACTTTGCAGGTACCTTGACATCAACTGTGGCAAGAGCTTCTTTGATGATCTTTTAATATTTTTGGAGATGTCTTTCAGCATCTTGCAGTTTGCTCTCCGGCTGAACTTGCTAGGACAGCCTGCCCTGGCCATACTGGCAGTTGATTTAGATGTGAATTATTGTGTAAATTATTTACCCGACAGTGGAATGGCTGATTCCAAACTCTCTTGAGATCTTTTAATATCTTTCCCAGACTCATATGCATCTCCAATCTTCTTTCTGAAGGCCTCAGAGAGCTCTTTGGATCTCACCATGGTGATACCACTCATTTCAACAATCAAGAGCAGAGCAAACTAAATGTCTGTGGTTTAAATAAGACAGGCTCCACCAAAAAGCTCTTTAATGATGTTCTAACCATTTTCACCTGATATGGTGCCACCAGAATCTAATTCTAGGAATTTGAAATAGTGATGAATGTGAGGGTGTCCTAGCTTTTTCCTCAGTGGAAATTAGCGTCTTGGTCAATTTCTTTTCGTAAATAAGTGAATTTGTTTCTAGTTATTGCCTAGGTGATGTAATTACATCCCCTTTATCTACATGTAGCGCCCCCATGCTGCGGTAACAGGCATGACTCCTAAACCCTATCCACTTTCTCTTCAGGGCGCCCTGAGTTCTTTTATTTTATTTACAGTAATTTACGAGTGGAGCTTTGAGATGTTGTTTTCTCCCCTATTTGGTATGAGCTTCTGCTGCTCTCGTCTACCAAAGGTGCTCCCGGTTTAAATAATCAACGTCTTCCAGGGCAAAATGGAAACACATACCTTTACTTTTAAACTGAGATTATCACACAATAAAATAAATAACAATCGGCTAGGGAATCTTTCATTCAGGGCTTTACCAAAAATGTCACGTGATAGAATTTTTTTTTTATTTCTTTTTTTATATATATAATTGGGTCTCTTTAGGATAAATGTTCTGGTTTTTCATGACAGAATGACATTTAGGGTGTTTTATTGCCTCAGACCAAGCAGACCCCAGTGGACTCATCAAAGTTCCATTATTACCAACTGGGTTACGCACATCCCCCAACAGGTGGCCAAGGTGTGTAAACAAGCATTTGAATTTTTCCTCTTGTAGTAAACTAGAGCCAAATTGGCGGCTTAGTCCATGATATCATCAGATTCTGTTTAAATTTAGTAGCCTATACTTAAACGGAGCTACAAACCCCTTTTAGGGTATATGGATACCCTACAGGTGGCCAGGTTCAGCTTTTATAATGAGCACTGTTAATGCACTGCATTATGTTAATGCTGTTAATGCACTGCATTATGTTTCACATACCCAGCAAATAGCAATATGTCCTGAGGTCGTCCTTGGGACGTCCTCTTTTGGTCTGGATGTCGCCAAACCACAAACGTTGTCTAGGTGACCTAGTATGAACTTTATAAGGACATTCTCAGGATCCTCAATTCAATGGCTACATGCTTTTTTTTTTAACTTAAGCACACAGTAGGAGACGGCCCACAGTTGTTAGTCCAAATGATCAGTGCACATCTCTACTTGTGGTTTAAAAACTGACTGGTTTCCTTTGGGTGAAAGATATTATAGCCTGTAAACTGAATTTGAATATAAAGCTAACATTACCTCTGCTTTTGATTACAGAGTTGGACTGCAATATATGGGAACTGGTTCTTTACAACCCTGATCGTCTAAGCGATGGCTCACTATTCCAATGAGGTTTGGATGTAACGTTTTAGCATATGATGCATGTTGTTAAGGCCGTAAATACTAGACACTGAAAGACAGGAAAGCTTAAGTTCATAACATGAACAACTATTTTTAGCTGAATATAGCAGACAAAAAGCTGTCTCTCCACAGTGCTCTTCCTCAGGCTACTTCCTTACCATACCGTTGGTATGGTTGATATTTTGTTTCTGACCTCATTGTTTCAATGTGCTAGTGTTGGGACTTAAAGTATTTTTATTGCTATTTAAATTGGACAGGCCTGTCTTATAAAAGAGATTTTGAACATCAGTGGACTAACCTGGTTAAATAGAGGCTTAATAATAATGCAGAAAATAAACACACATGTGCTTCTCATAGTAATGAAAAAATCATAGCAGGTGTCTCCAGCAGCAAAATATGACTGTGAGGAAGAAACCTGCCTTCTGTTAACACAAAGGTCATGTGACCATGTACGAGTTTGTGAGGTCTCATGGACATTCTGCAGACCCAGACCTCGCCCGCCGACCTCTTGCTTGATTATCTGAAGGAGCTCAGTGATGATGAGCTGAAGGAGTTTAAATGGAAACTGAGTCACACAAAGTTAAAGCCCCTTCCCAGGGGTCAGGTGAAGGACTTGGATAGAACAGACCTCGCCGACAAGATGATAAGTTCCTACAGTGAATGTGATGCTCTCAATGTCATGCTTGAAATTCTGAAGAATATGAACATGAATGATCTTGCTCAGAGACTGAATGAAAACCTGCAGGAGGGTAATCATATTTTAACCATGTTTTTTTTATCTAAATTGTAACCTTTTTAATCTCTCGAAAAATTTACATATCGTATAGCACTACATGGGTAATGTTGATGTTTGTTAGATACTGATGCTGAAGACAGAAATAAATTTGAAATTCTTCCTTATTTCAGGTCCCCAAGCAGGAAGTGAGCTGGGTGACATGTTGAAGCAGAGTAAGAGCTTTATGCTGTTCTGCAGTTTACACTTTGCCCACTCATCCTTTTTCTATACTGTTATCACGTATGGGGGTGGGGTGTTGGGCAGCCAGGTGACCTTGGACCCCCAAAGGTTTTTATTTCTTCATACTTGGGAGTTTTTGGTTCCTCTCTTCTGTTGTCGTCCGGCTTTCTTTCTTTCATTTGTTTCTCTTCTTTTTCCTTGTTTTTGAATTATGCTGCATAAATGATGCAGGGATGTATCCCAACTTGCCCATGTAAAGCACTCGGTAGTGAAAGGCGCTATATAAAAATACATTGAATTGAACCCTATATATCAGGGTGGCCTGTGGCATAGGCAGTATAGGAAATGTCAGGGGTGCCGTCTATTTAAAACGGGTAGAAAGGGGAGGGGGAAAATTAAGATTTTGATTTTTGCTATACAGCAAATGTGCCAGTGTTAAATTAACACTGCATGGTATTTATATGGGTCCACACCATTCAGTGTTTGTTACCTTTAACATTTTACAGTGTGCAGTGAGTGTTGTTTTTACAGTGTTACAACATAGAGTATTAAGACAACGTCTCCACCCCTTCCCAACTTGCAAGCCCATATGGGTGACACACAAGTACAAAATGGGTGGCCCATATCTGCCCTATTTTAATGTACTCTCATTTGAACTCATTTGGGCATTCAGCTGCTGTGTTTTACTAACCCACCATAATAAGAAAGACTCAGACCAACATAGCCTTTTTTCTTTTTATGCACTTTTTTTTATGCACTATGCATTTTGTTTTAGCTCAGCTCTTAGTAACCAAAGAATTGTGCTTATGTAAATTGATGAACATTGAAAAACAGTCTTTATAAGTGTATTTATTTAAGCATGACTAAGATAGTTTTCTTCAATCAGGATAAGAAAGAACCACTCATGCTCACCTGAGAACTGCCTGTGGTATAAAAGTGATTGAAATGTCTGGCACCAGTCACCAAACACAGATTATGAAGCTAGACTGTGTTGGACTGCATAACAGAACAGAACTGAGAAAAGGTGAGAGCTATCTTAATGATTGAAGGAGTGTATTTCCACTAAAACAGATATAATGGGTGGTGGTCTTATTGCTTTTAGACCACAACTTGGGATAGAAGAACAAATCAAATCACTTTGCTGATTTAATATTCAGATTTTCATTAAGCTTAATTTTTAGAAACCCACCATGATCGAGGATGGTATGGCACTGATATTAGTCTGTACCACATTTAATAGTTCGTCTGGGTTGGTGCATAGTAATTAATCTGAGTAGTCTAATTCTTATATTTGTGCATCCCCAAACAAATCTTCTTAATTGTAGAGATACATATGGTCTGGACATTCTTTCTAAAGAGCTTAGGCTTAGAGAAACAAAATTGTTTTTCCATAGCATTTTACTTGTAGCCAATGCCTCCCCTAGTATGGACTAAACCATCGCACTTAGTCATTGGCTAGCACAAAAAAGCTGTTTTTGTTCTCTTGCCCGATTCTTCACAATCGTGGTGGATCAAAAAAAAAATCTATTAAGTCAAAAACAGTACTGTGTCATGCTATGCAAATATACATACAGCACCATTGGTCTACAGGGGAGTGGGCGGTACCAGGAGCTGCACAGAAAAGGGTATCACAACTGTCCTGACATCTTTCCACATATGCAGTGCTTGAAGTGGGCCGGAACGCAGCGGAACACAGTTCCGGAACTTCTGGATTTTCGCCCTTTGGGTTCCGCCACTTTTTTTCCGGTACTTACTGAAAGTGAAATGAGTGAAATGTCAAATGTCGGAAAATTAGAGTTCCTGCACTTATTTTTTCCCACTTCAAGCACTGCACATATGTTAATCATCCAAGGACAGGACTGGCAGTCAAACATACCCTCATACCTTTGAAATACATACCGCTCTGGAGATATACCCTGTACATTTCCAAGAGTTTTCCAATAGCAACACACTACAAAACCACAGCTCTCTAATTCTCCAGATCAGTCAGAAACAAGCCAGCAAAACTTTAATCTAAAACAAAAAAAAGGCTGTAAGGTCCTGTTTGGTCAGAGTCTTTCTCATGATGGTGGGTAAATCTGGGATGGCTCTTCTGATCCTCATGACATCTTGTGCGCATATTAAAATGGGGCAGATATGTGGAGGTGGAGACTCTTTGACAAAACTCTAGGTTGTAAATTGAACACTATAAGGGTTAATAAACATTAACATTGTAAAAACACTCACTGCACACTGTAAAGTGTTAAAGGTAACACTGAATGGTGTAGACACATATAGACACCATGCAGTGTTAATTTAACACTGGCACATTTGCTGTGTACCTTGTAAATAGTCTGCTTTTGTATTTAACCGTGTAAATACACCATTAACATAGCTAATTTTAGGTTTTATATTGGAATAATATGGATTTGAGGTAAGATTTTCCAATTCAATTTCCACCCTTTGTTTCCGCTGAGAGACATGCGGCGCGACTCATTTCCCCATGCGTACAAGTTATCTTAGGTCGGCGTTCACGGTTTGATTTCTGACATTCAGATCGAGCTCTAGGTAATTTTTTTCGAACTGGTTGGTTCAAATTTTAAGAAATTTGAGTTCTAATGAGTTCAAGAACTGAGGTACCACTGTATATACAAATTAAAAGTGAGTTAACACGATAAAACCAGTAAGTTATGTCAGTCATTCCATGTATTTATTAAATTTCACTTAATTTAATCAGTTTAAAAAATACATTAAATTAAAACTCCATTCATTATCTTTCATTACTCAAGGGCCCATATACATGCAGTCATCCAGCTGCAGCTGGATTTGAATCAGAAACCTTTGGATTACAAGCCCAAATACACTGACTCAGTTTAAGTTGTAACTTTTCAAGTGGAATGAATTTACAGTATACGTACCTGACTATAATACTCATTAAGGTAATACACGTATAAGTTAATTTCCAGGCAAAGCTTTTCAGGCAAGGCAGTGCTCATTGACACAGATTATAAAGTTTGTTTCACTCTGAAGCTCCTGGACCTGCACACTCTCCTGAAGACCAATAGTGCTGATGTATATTTGCATAGCATGACTGGATACAGCCATTATTTTAACTCTTAACCATGATGGGATTGAATAGAGCAACATTATAAACACCCCAGAAACATTGATATAATGATAATTGATACTTTATGCCTCCCACAACTTGCTCTTTTCGTAGAGTAGGCTGTCTATGAAGGGTTAAAATATGTAGCATTGCATTTTCTGTTGTGGTGGGTTTCTGAACATGGGCTTCCAAAAATCAAGCCTAATAAAAAAATTAAATAATAAATGAGCAAAGTGATTTGATTTGTTCTTCTATCCCACCTTGTGATCTAAAAGCAATGAGGCTGCCACACATAATATCTGCTCTATGGAAATGCACTCCCATAGCCACTCTCACCTTCTTTCAGTCCTGCTAAATTATGTTGTGCCGTCTTAAAGTTTTACTCAAAAGCAACTTATAGTGTAAGACATATTGAAAACTTATGTTGTATTGTTAAAATGGTTGGTGTCAATAGATAATGCTGTGTGAAGCTCAGCTGGTTCCGCAGGTAGTCAGTTCAAATCCTGTGATCAGTCGACTAACCACTGGGACTTTGAGCAATGCTGTTAACCTCAGTTTCCCAGTTGTGTCACGTTGGAGTAAAGTGTCTGGTAAAGACACTTTGAACAGAAAATGAAAAACAATGCATCCATTGAACAGGTCTGGAAGTTCGGAAAATGGGAGGCAGCAGCAGTACTGAAAGAGTGGAGACAGAGGTGAAGGAGGATAGGAATCCATCACTCCTTAAAGAACCATGGAGGAGTGTTGTGTGGGACCATAGGTGTGAAGCTTGTTTAACCAAATATAATCATTTTTTGTTACTAGTATCACATAATTTTATGTATATATTTTTAAAATACGCATGAGTACAATAACCCTCTCTGCCCATGATCTAAAGGTCTCTGGTTCAGATTCTATGGTGGGCAGAGTGATATCACCTTTGGGCGGTTTGAGCAAGGTCCTTAACCTTAATTGCTTCAGGGACTGACTGACCCTGCTTTCTCAATTGTACATCACTTTGGACAAAAGCATCTGCCAACTAAATGTAAATGAATAAACACATCCTAATAAGAATGTGAGATATTTCATTATGTAGTTTCAGCAGCAGACGGCTAATGTCATGTAAAGGAAGCTATTGCAATATGTTATTAGATATGGGATTATTTGTATTCCTTATCAATTTTGACTATTTCCCATTTCCATTCCTTTAGCACACGGACTAATCTCAAGCAATACCTGCATGATTACAAGCCCACTGTTGATTCAGTGCCTCGGGCTCGGATTCTTTTAGTTGGTGCGGTTGGTGCTGGAAAATCGAGCTTCTTCAACTCCATCAATTCTGTTTGCCGTGGCAACATGACAAGCCAAGCTAAAGCAGGAAGCGATGCAACCTGCATGACCATGCAGGTAATGAGATCATCTGAATCTTCCTTCATGGTATGAGAGGAGTATCTGAATGCCCTCATATTCTCACCAGAGAGGAGGGATGGTATTTTATTTTACTATTTGTACTATGTGTGTCTTGTATACATTTATCAGATGTGTTTATCCAAACTGAAATACACTTCATAAAGCAGAGTCAGCCAGTCCCTGGAGCAATTGGAGGTTAATAGTGTTTCTCAAGGGCCCAAAGATAAAATTACTCTAATGACAATGAGATTTGTCTCAGAGCCCTAACCTGCCAAATCACACACCACCCCGGTTTGAGTTTGGGTGCAGACATCCATGTTACCTAGTACACTGGATAATGAACACAGATTGCTGGGATGGGCTCTTTTTGAAGACCTTTCAGCAGGGTACCAACCCTGAATTCCATCTGTTTTCTATGACTACATTCCTACTATAATGGCGTGGATCACCTCCCAGGAATCAACAGAAAGGGGCACTTTCTGTTTTAGTGCTGCAATGGCCTATTTAGATATATTACTTCATGCAGCTGCATGTTTTTGGGCTGTAGGGCAATACAGAGCACAATTAGGAGGTAAGCTCACAATACAGTTAGAGCATGTAATCTGCATAATTCAAACCCCCAGTCCTAAATGTATGAAGCTGCAGTGCAGCCCACAGAAAAACTGTGCCATACTCATCATGTTCTTATTGCTATTAATAGAGGACATTTGGCACTGAATTGTACTTTCCATGATATGAAATCACACTTGGCTCCAGGCTTCACAGTATCTTGTACTGCAGGGGTACCAGCCCGTGACATGACTTTTAATTGTTATTAAATCCAGCCCATCGATCAATCGAATGATTTCCACACAGAATGAAAATCTAATCTGTGGCACTAAAATCTGCTGGCACCAAGCTTGGTGAACTCCACCCCCCCCCCCCAACTTTTTAAGGCTGTTGCATTTTTTATGTATTGCTTAAAAACAGAAAACTCAAGTGAATTGCCAGAGCTGAAGACCTTGTCACTAGTAGGTTTGAAATACCTGTTAAATTGGACAAGCTGTCAGAAGATGAATGACATCATGTGTCTTCTTACAGTATCGCACTTACACTGTGAGGGCGGGTCGAGGTGGACGGCCTCTGGCATTCCTACTGTGTGACACCATGGGACTGGAAATGTCACTTAATAGCGGGGTGAATATTGAAGATATTGTGAGCATCCTGAAGGGCTACATACCAGACAAGTACCAGGTAAGAACTGTGTATCTAACCAGGCCTCAGTAACAAATGCTACATAAATACATGCAGGTCTGATCCCTCTAATGACTTACACATGTTTATAATTACTGGTGTTTTTCTCCCTACACTCTCTTTGGAGGAAATTTATTCTCATTCACTGATTTGTTTTTAGGTTAAATAATATATTGTTGTTGCTCAAATGTCACATGAATAGACTTAAATTTAATTTTGTTTCAGTTTCTCATGATCTTAGTTAGTGAATGTTTTTATGTGTCATTAACAACTTGTCTGTTTAGTTCAACCCTGTGTCGCCAATGGATACTGATGACTGTCAGACGGGCAGCCGATTGCCACTTCAGGACAGGATCCACTGTGTGGTGTATGTCATAGATGTCACTCATTTTCAATATATGCCTGATGAAATTAAGAAGAAACTTCATGAAATCAAAAGGAGAACTGACTTTCATGGTTAGTGATTGGGGAGAACAGACAGAGGTGGCACCTCTGACTAAGTGTGCTGTGGGGGGTTGGTCCTGAATGTTGAGACAGGAACATTAGCTCAGTTGATCACTTATTAATTCAGGAAGTACAGAGTGGTGATGGCAGGTACCTCTGTGTGTGATGGACACCAATGTGATGAATGCCACAAGTTTAATGGCTTTTTCCATACAACGTTTTGTTGTAAATATGCCTAGTGAGACACATTTATTGATGGTTTTAGATGTCCCTGTACTGGTGCTATTGACCAAAGTGGACAATGCATGCCCACACGTGCAAAGGGACTTAAGGAATGTGTACCGCAGCTGCATCATAAAGGGACTGGTGAGTTTCTCGGTCTAACGCTGGAATTGGTCCTAAAAGTTGCACCAACACATCAGGACAGTATAAGTGGAAACCTGCAGAAGGACCCTTTGCTAGGAAATTAATTTGCTGAATCTTCAGCAAAAATATGCACCACTATAAATGGTTAAAAGCTAAAAGCTAGGTTTTTGATACACCACTGGCCCACAAACCTTTATGTTCAGCATTTATTTTCTAAAGCAACATATTTCCTGGCAAACAAATGACTCTGTAGAAGGCACTGTAGCTTTTTGCCTTTATGGTTGTGAGTTTGTATCCCACTTCACCATGTCTGTGCAGTTTGCATGTTCTTGTTTCCTCCGATAGTGCAAAACAATGCTTTTGGGGGAAGTTCTAAGTTGCTCACAGTGTGTTACTATGTAACGTGCAATGAGCCGGCATCCTGGACCAAGTGATTTCATCCTTGTGTCCTATTTTTCCTGAGATGAGCTCAACATGACCCTGCAGTGGATGGGTGGTTATGAACCATAGACTTGTACGTGACACAAATTTGTGTCTGCCATTTATTTATCCTCAAGAGCTTTACAACTTCCATTGTGCATCCGCATATAGCAGCATCTGCTAAAGACAAATTTCTACCATTTCAATTGAGTTATTGCTACCCTGTTTGACACTAATCTCACAACACAGCAGCTGAAGAAAATATATTTGAAGAGGAATTTGTAGATGAACTGCATGTCTCTCTGCAGATCAAAAAAGCGAGTGAATGTCTGAGCGTCCCAGTGTTAAGTGTGCTTCCTGTGAAGAATTACACCTACGAGACTGAGCTGAATGACTCCTGTGACATCCTGCTCCTCAGCGCCATGAAGCAGATGCTCAACTTTGCTGACAATTACTTAGACAGCTGTGAGGAAAACACAGAGTAGATGAGTTTATCATATTTGGGGGCAATGCCATTGCCTCACTCTGTCCATGTTCATGTGTTCTACTCCACACATTAGATCCCTGTAAACCTGCACAAGCCTTTTCATAACCTGGACTTAGCTATGAATAAGGCATGCTTACATGCAATTAGGCATATAATTTAGTCAAGTATACACTGTAACCCTACATTGGATTTGATGCTAAGGTAATAAAAATGACCTGATGATTTCACAATGGATCTGTGTCTGTCTCAGTCTAAACCATGATTTGACTCAGTGTTCTATGTCTATATTTCAAGTTTGAATCAGTGTCTCTGTCAGTTTGATTAATAGACATTGGGTCTGCAGGGGTAGAATTACTTTGTTCGGGGGGCACAGCA